AAACATACTATATTTAAATCACATAATATTTCATTTAAAAATACAAATTTATTATTCTTAATTAATTTTAATATCATTTAAAAATACAGCAATTCAAAATAAAGCCTAAATGAAGAAAATTTGATTTCTTTTTTTGAATATCAGCAAAATGTAAAAATTGATTAAATCTTAATTTAGAGAGGAAAATCAAATCACTTTGTTTTTTTTCTTCCTCCCTCCAACTCAAACCATATTTGTTGCTACTGACTCAATCCCGTTGTAACATGTAAGGTTTTCTTTATTTAAATTAGTTGTTTTGTTTTTATCATTTTAGTCATTTATACAAAAGAAAAAGAAAAAAAAAAATACACAAGGATTCTTCGTAAATACCCCACCTGGAAACCATTATTCTCAAATACGCTATGCCATAACAATCATTGCAATGGTGACATAAATTAAGATCAATTCTTACAAGCCAAAATACTCAAATAGCAATTCTTCAAACCAAGTTAAACGGAAAACAGGGCAGAACATAAAATCACATGGTCCAAACAAAACAGAATAGAAGCCTAGGAACAAACTAACTAGCTAAAGCACAAGAAACCATTGCTGCAACTGCTACTAGCTTAAGACATAAAATACATGATAGATAACCTTCAACAACCAGGTACGAAAGAAATACACGATTGCTGCCGGCTCCTTCCTTGTCTTCCATCTTAGAGCTTAAAGCTTCTCAAGCATGCATCCCACCTCTTGTAAACAAATCCTATTATTATAAGCTGCAAGTAAAATAATGGCTCAATTCTGCGAAGCAGGGATTCCTGAACCTGCAAAACTCAATTAACTTCATAAAATAAAATAGCTTTTAAAGCAAGGAAATTTAAGATAGGGGAAATAAAAAGAGAGTTCTTTAGAAACAAAACTTGATCAGAAGGATCAATTTTGGTGCTCAACAGCTTGGATGTGTGATGATCACAAGACTAAGTACTTGACTGTACGCAAACACCCACACATAAAGGCACTAAATGCACTCAGAAACAAAATCGATGCATACACTAATTGAAAAATGCTGAGCAAAATCAAGAGGATCGTAGGTTTTCAAAGGCAGATTAATAGATATAAACCAAATCCCACCTAAATTTAGTGTGATTCTAAGAGTTAAAAAGCATCGAAAGAGCTGATCTTATATCAATAGGCAAAATACCAAGAAGAGAAGTACAAAATTTGAATTAAAGGTCACAAGAAATCAAAACCATTAAAGAGTTTTTACCCAGAGAAAAAAATCTGCGTACTTTTATCTAAATCATAAATGAGTAGGAGAAAAGCTATAGACTAGTTCAGGCATTTTGACTCCTCATTTAAAGCTTTTTTTTTTTCTTTCTTTTTTTCTAAGTAGGAAGCTGAAAATAAAATAAGAGCAGCATACTTTGGAGTCACACAATCAAGCACACCATGAAGGGAATCAAACAGGACAGGTTAAAAAAGATTAAAGACATTCACATTCCATATCCTAGAATTGTGAACTCGCACACCCCCTGCACAGTGGAAAATGGGCAGTAAGCTACATTTACTGAATGGCTGGTTGTAGTAGTAAAAATATACCTACTTCTATTTTGAAGTTGTAATATAACAATCATGAACCGAAGAGAGAGACGAACCAAAAACTAAATCAGTATCAATGGACATCCTGCTCCAGAGGATGCTTTCCATGCTCACGATGCTGACCACCAAAATGCAAAGAACCAATGTTCAACATTCTTTAACTTCTTTTTTTTTCTTGAAACCAACCAATGTTCAATATTCTTATGTTAAAGCCTTATCTGCTCCATAATTCCATTACATGAGGGAAACCATTCACCGGAGAGACAAACATCTTTAAACATCCTAATCAACGTACAACCCTTCTTTGTATTTTCCACAAAAGCTACGTTACCCAATTAGAAAACAACAACCGAGAGAATCTACATGTAATTTATATAACTATAATTCCTTGAAGATTACCTGGTAACAAGTAGAATAGGCAACGGAACAGCAGAAATGTGACCTTGGCTTGCTCCAGCTTGAAAGACAAAGTAGAGAAGATTGCATGCAGATTGATGAACAGGAAGAAAACTAAGAAATTCACATGGAAATTAAAAGCAAAAGCCAGGCTTTATACAAATCAAAAAGGGAAAAAAAAAATGCAGTAACAAACTGAGAAAAGGGAGTTTACCCATTGAAGATTGGAGGCCACCCCACTGGATCTGGGATGAGGAGGATGAGGATCCGGAAAAGTGAAGAAAAAGGTGCGGCTGGTGAAAAGTGCGACAGATGGAAGATGGGTAGAGAGAGCAATTGGCAGAGGGATATGCAAAATCAGAAAAAGGGAAAAAGGATGGAAAAATCAGATGGAGAAGATGAGTAGAAAGGAGCAATCGACAGATGAAAATGCCAGAGAAGTCAAGATCGGGATCTGGTGAGAAGTCAGATAGATGGAAGAGCAATCAAGAGACGAAGGGTAGGGTGAGGAATCGGATTTTTTCACGGTATATATAGTGGTTTAATCGTAATTTTGTTAAAACATGAGGGTAAAATAAGTATAATGGACAATTTTCATTAAAAGGAAGCCAGAAGCACGCGCAAAAACTAGGATTTCTTGCTTCCGGAATTTTCAGGAGGAGGAAGCTGACTCGTGATTCTCATCAGCTGAAGACATTTGTAGAAGAGGGTAGAAGAAGGGTGTGTGATGTAGCAGGAGCTTTTGGACTTCAAAAGCACTTTTCACCAGCTGCACCAAAGAGGCACTTATTCATTTATACAACGTATATAGTTGTTTGTTTCTCATTTTCTTTGGTAACGTATGGTTTTATACCTCCTATATATGGTTGGAATCGTAAATTTACCTTGACAAGAAGGAATTAGTAATTTAATTAAGCTTTTTTTTATTGTTTATTTATGCTTTTGAATTTTCTGTTCACGAACACTAGAAGAAGTATATTTTGTTCACATTATTTATTATGTTTCAGGACCGTTTTTAATGGCGGAAATAGTAGGGGTAATCGTCGGTGCATTGAGTTTCATTTGTGGTACTCCAACCTGCAACTTTATAGATCAATATCAAAATTTTAATGACAATGTGGGTGAGCTGAGAAGAATATTGGACACTCTAACTAGCCAGAAACGAGATATAGAATCAATAATAGAACAGGCAGAGGCTCGCGGCGGACAAACGGTTAGACAACAAGTGCAAGTATGGCGTAAGCAAGCACAAGAGATCAATGTTGATGTGCGAGCATTTTTAGAAAAGGTGCAGGGAGTCAAGTGGTACAAGCGTGTCTGTCTTGACAAACGTGTTTGCAGAAAAATTAAAGTGGTGGCGGACATGATTGAAAAAGGTAGCTTTACTGAAGGCCTTTTTATTGAGAGAGCTCCAGCTCATGGAAACATATTTCCAACAGAGGATATAGTGTCGGAAATGCTTACTAGAGATCGTGAAAATTGGGAGGACTTGACGGCTAATGGACCTGTTTCCAAAGTGCTACTGGTTATAGCCTGGTAATTGGGAGTGCAGAATACATGAGTAGATATAGCAAACATGAGCTTGTAATTATTGATTGCGAGATCGGGGAAGAATGTATAGTGCTTCCAAATAACCTTGAAAATTTGTGGATAATTGGGGGTTAAAACATTAGAACTAGCTTAAACAAAACAGCTCTGTTAGAAAAAGCAAATGAGTTGAGGAGGTGCCATCTTTGGAATAGTGAAGAGATAGAGCGCGTGGTTGAGTTGGACTCATCCTCGTCCTCATTGTGTTGTTCGATACTTGATAAGCTTGAACTGCTAGAGCTTTGGGGATTGCCTAGGTTGTGTGAACTTGTGAGAGTGGAAGGAGTAGCAACACCGCTGCATGTCTTTTCCAATCTTAAAACACTTAAAATAGAAGCATGTACAGGAATGAGGAAGTTGCTTCCACTTGAGCTACTACAAGCCCTCCAAAACTTAGAGGAGATTAGAGTTGTCAGTTGCAAACAAATGGAGGAGATAATAGCATTATCAGATTCAGATGCATCATCATCAGATAAATTCACTTTAACTTTTCCTAAGTTAAGGGAATTGTGCTTGTGGAACTTACCCCAATTGAAGAGCATCTGCAGTGTCAAAGGAGTTACATTTTGTAATTCTATTGAAAAAATTGCAATGAGTGGATGTGGAGGGTTACTTTCCAAAAATTAAAGTCACGTGCCACCTCAAAAACACGTGCCCAATAAAAGGTTTTCCTCAGTTCCCTCATTCCTCCAACGAAAACAACTAGGTATTCTAGAAGAGAAAGAGATCGATGTGTCTGAGATGCAAACCCTAAGTGGGTATATTTTGGAAGACAAAGATATCCAGCCTCTACTCCCTCACAAACTCCAACCAGTAAGTGTTTAGATTTTACTATCTCTATTTTGACTTGATTGTAACTTTATTTAGTTTTTGTGTTTAGATTCATATTCCACTTTTCTCATCTAACAAGATAAAATTGTGGGTAATAAGATTGTTTAGTACCTATGGTTGGAGGAACCTTAATGGTATTCTTTTTTTATTTGATTTTTTTTATATATATTTATTTAACTTTATCTAGACAGCCCTTTTTAAAAAAAATTTTCTATTATTTGCAATCCTGTGTTTTTTTAGTCACTAAAGGAAACAATTTCTGCAGTTCCATAGAAATCATCAACTTTCCAAATAAATCACAAGCCACTGACGACATGTTCTAGTAAAAGCCCTTACTCAACAACGGAAAGATTGGTTGGAAAATTACGTGCTAAGCTGAAGAATTAGACATTAGACCTCAAAGAAAGTGTCAAAAATCCAACACTAGGTGTTTTGACTTCATTATTCTATTTCACTCTCTTCATTATCTTTTGCCTCTTAATTTCTATGTATTAATAAGGGTTTTATTCAATTTTTTTGGTTTTATATTTTGTTCTTTTTATAATTTGGTTTTTGGGGTAAGCCTAGCTAAAAATGAGCCCCCTTTATTGCAGGGTAAACTAGCTCCAGTAAGGCCTCAAGGAGAGGGAGTTTTTAGGTTTCTAGATATGCTTTTTGGGTTCTTAATCTAAAAATTTTGTACGAGAGGAAGTTTCTCATAAAAATTGGAATCATTTCAAAAGTTTTTGGTGGCAAGATCATCAATTGTGCAAAGAGGTGAATTTTTCCTTTCCAAGAATGCTGTTAAAGTTCACATTCACAAGTCAAAGCATGGAGACACATACTCATGATTGCTGTCTGTTTAGGTTACTTGAAGAGTTAGTTTGAAAAACATGGCAGTGGGTTTTGAAAAATTATATGGTGGTGTTAAGAAATGTTTTCCCGGAACATATTTTGATTTTTATATTTTTGGTGACAATACATATCTCGGTTAATGATGGTTCTTGTTTAGTTCAGGTTATTGAGCTTAAATGTTTGTACCAGAGAAAGTTTACGATAAAAATCAGCATCATTTTTTGGCTTCCTACAAGTGGTTGAGTTGCTTCTTTTTGGTGTTATGAAATGTGGCGAAGAAGTGAATCCCTTACCCCTCAAAAAATGTAGTTAAAGTTCCTATTCACAAGTCACAAGCATGTACACGCACTCATGATTTACTGTTTGTTTAGGTTACTTGCGAAGCTTGTTTGTTCACATTCACATTGCTTATACTTTGTCTTGCTGGTTGATGAGCAGTCCTCCATGTTACCTTATAAGGCTCCTTACTAGACTTAAACTCAGAGGTTAGATTTTCCTTAAAATGTTCAGTTATTACTTTTACTTATAGTGGATTAGTGCCAATCTACACTTCTGAACCCTCTCCCCAAATCCAAATGTGTTTCAGGAGTACAATGCATCAATTGAGTACTACTGGGCACCCTTCATAGTGGAGTCTGATTCATACCATGCAACATATCATACGGTCCTGAGATGACTGGTGAACCTTGCTGCCATAGCTGAACATGGCAGGAGCTTGGAAGGAGTTGATGTGTTGGTGTTTAAGTGCTAAGTTTGATGGATCCACAAGCATAACAAGCCTCAAATCAGTGTCATGTAAGTTTCCTGTTTTTGATCTAATGCTTCCTATTCCATCCAAATTCTTCTGGTTTTTGTGAACCTCGCTGCCATAGCCAAACACGGCAGCAGCTAGGACGGAGTTGATGTGTTAGTGTTTGGAATTATGTCTAGTGGATTTAGAAGTATAACAAGCTTCAGATCAATGTTATGCAAGTTTTATGCAAGTTTCTGGTTTTCAATCCAAGGCTTTCTATTCCATCTGAAACCTTCTGGTTTTTGTGCTCCTAAAGCAAGTTTTTTATTTTGGAATCCAACAGGTTAATCTAAGTTCTTACTTTCTTCCTGGGTTTCAGGGGCTTTTTTTTTTTTTTTTTTTTTTTTCCTTTCAATTATGAAACTCCGGGGATTTTTCAAGAATATAATGTGACAACTACTTGTAAAATGAGAAACCTTGGCAAATTGGTTAGAATCCAACATCAACCCTCTATGTCCCTCACACACATCTGTGGTATGTTTCACTTGCTGTTTTCTATTAAGAAACATCTCAAATCCCCAAATTATGAAGATGATGATAATATAGGGAGCTATCAAGTTGTTATAAACCATTTTGATGAAGTAGAAGAAGTTAATCCTTTCTATGTTAATCTTCCATTCTTTTTAAATTTATAAGATTTTTTTTTTCTTTTAATGATATGATTCTGATTGCTGATCAATGATTGTGAATTTGTAGAACCCTTTAAGGCTTCCACCTCTTCCTCCAGAACCAATTGCTATCAACTACGATCATGAAGCAAATCATGATTTCCCTCTTGCCACAGTTACTAGACCCAGTTTTAAGGTTAGTGTGTTTACTTAATTCCATCTCCATGCATGCCACTTCCTACTTGTTTTATGAAACTGAGCAGTGATTATGGTTTTCTGATTTACACTGTTCAAAATCTTAGGAATTGAAGAGGTAAGGGAGGGAGACATGGCCATGGCAGTTGAACTTAACCAGCAGTAGGAGGTATATGAGGTATATCAAGGAGATTGAACTTGTGAAACATGTAGACTTCTGCAAGTTTCACTCTTCTGTTTCTTTTGGGATATACAGCACAGAAAGTGAAGCACAAAAGAGGAGCCTTAAGCAATAGGTAACTTGTATTTGATGTTATATTTTGTTGATTACTTATCATATCCATGCAGTGGCCTGTTTCTATTTCCTTTGATGGTCTATTAGCCTTTCATTCATGCCATGACAACCTAGAACTTGCGAATTTTTGTTTTGCAGATTGGCAACCATTTGCCTCTGTTGTTCATAATGATATAGTGATTTATCTAGGAAAGTTTACCTAAATTGCCTTTTCATCATTCATAGCTGTGCAAGCTTTCTCATTTTTACTTTTCGATATGATTATTTTAGCCTTTCATTTTGGTAGTTTATATTTATTGACTGAATACATTAAATTGTGTACATGATGTTATTTGTGGTTATCAGTGTCTATATTGATATATATATATGCGTTATGAATGGTAAGTGTATTTTTTTTCCCCTTAATGCAGGATTGGTTCTGTGGTTTTTCTGAAACGTCATAGCTGCTACTATAGCATGCATCAAAGGAGAAGGATAGAAGCCATGCGGTAATGAGAACTGGTTCAACGATACTTATCCAATCCAAGAAGCACCATACTTAGGGAATTGGATCTCATCTTGCCATCATGGAGACAGTTCGCAACATCTTACAAGGACTAAAAATAAATCGTTACAGTTTTGAACATTACACAATTGTCGAAATATCAAAAAGTTGTTCATGTCTGTTTATGGCGAATAGAAAGGAAAACTCGACAGGAAACAGAGATCTGACCCAAAAAAAATTTCTGATTGTGTTCATGGTAATTGGTTCTTTACGGGACTACCTGATTACATGGAATAAGATTGTGTATGCATATTTGTTGAGCAGTTGTAAAACTCTTTTGTGATCTTTGAAGTTCAAGTACATATAGAAGAACATATCTCCAAGTAATGATATATATTTGAATCTCGCATATTTTTCTTGCTGAAAATATCCATCAACCTCCACTTCTCTCATCTCATCAGGTTGCAGTTCAGGAGATTTGCTTTGGCCTATCTAATTTAGTTATTATAAATGTCTATTTCTTTAATTCCTTTCTCGAAATCTGCAGGTAATAATTTCTTCTGTTGTGTTCTCTTTGAAGTATACAAAGAAATACAAAATACACAAATCTTTTTTTGTTTTTTGGTAGAAAGAGATATAGCATAGATATTTAGAGTGCTACAGTAGTCCTGGGAACCTTGTTCCCAATAATATCCGAAAACAAAACATTACAAAGATCGGGAGGACATTGATCAAGCACAACAAACGGAGATTCCGACTTTGCACCTTTCTTAGCCAAACCGTCAGCCACCGTATTGGCTTCTCTGAGAACATGATTAAGATGTAGGTTGGGGATTTGTGTCATCATAGCCCTACAATCATCAATTAAAACACCCAGTGAGTGAGCAGCAGAATTAGCAGAATCCAGAAGAGTTTTCGCAACCTTAGAATCAGTTTCAACAAGTAAGTGGGAAAATCCCCTATTTACAGCAAGTTTAAGACCATCTCTTAAAGCCCATAGTTCGGCCGAAAGGCTGGACGTGAATCCTACATTCCGGTAGAATCCCAGCAACCAGTTACCAAGCTCATCCCTAAAAACTCCTCCAGCACCCGCCTCCCCTGGGTTTGCATTAGCTGAACCATCAGTATTCAGCTTAATGAAACCAGCTGGGGGCGGGTTCCAGCTAACAAGAAAAACAGATAGAGATTTAGTGATAGAAGAAGTTGGATGAAATTGGTTGTACTCATTAATTTTTTTCAAAATAAAATCTCTAGCCATAGCTATAGAAAATTTTTTCCTTTCATGAACCAGCTGGTTCCGGAAGTACCAGAGGGACCAAATGATGTAGGAAAAAGAAGTGCTCCATTTCCTACAGTCAGAAAGGTTGGAGTGAGTAGAGTGAGCATAAAGCCAACCATCAAAATCAAGATTCTGGTAGAGAGTGTTAATAGGATTAGGAGTAAGGAGATACCACAACAGTTTTGCAAAAAAACAGTCTCTAAAGATATGATTAATAGTTTCAGGAGCCTGGTGACATCTGGGGCAAATATTTGAGTCCACAATGCCCCAATTAAACAGAGTTTCATAGGTAAGTAGTCTATCATGCTTCAACAACCAAAGGAAAAACTGTATTCGAGGTAAGGTATCCATACAAAATACACAATTGAACTTGTAAATGCAAATCATTAACATGTCATTCTCTAATTACAATTCACTTTTTCACCTCAAATGAAATTATCAGCATAAAAATAAGAAAAAGCAAATGAAAATAATTAATAAATTATTTATATATGTTACTCCTTTAATTTATTTTTAATAGTTTTTATTTTATTTTGTCTTTTTGCATATAAATTTTTATCTAAAAATAAAAATTTAACAATTTGTATTAATAACAATTAAATTTTTTTTTCTATATGTAGTTTTTATGAAGTATTTTTATTTGATTAAAAAATTTTTAATTGTTATTTATATAATATATTAAATTTTTATTTAAATTTTATATTTAAAAAATAAAAAATCACACTAAAACTTGTTACATTAAAAATGTCATTATTCAATGGATGATAGATTTTTTTGACAAAAAAATAGATGATAGATGTTCAAATTAAATATTTTCATTGTTTACAATGGGAGAGACATTATTCAAATATTTTTTTATCAGTTATTTCTAATACATTTATATTGTTAGTGATAATAAGAAAAAAAAGACACATCAAATATTATATATTAATTTTTTTATTAAAAAATTATAAAATGTAATATATTGAAAAAGGTGTGTATTAATTTCAACTTGCATAAAAAATTAGAGTTTTAATTTTAAGAACACTAATCTTTGATGGATATTTTTAAAAATTAATTATTAAATTTAATATTCTAATGACATAAATCATGCGTATTAATTTTTAAATTGATCTAATATTTATAACAATTCAATTAAAAAATTTATATTTTTTAATATATATTTAACTATAATAAATTTTTTTATAATTAGTAAATTAATTATATATATTTAATTAGTTTAAAAATTAATACACATAATTTATATAAACAAAATATTAAATTTAAATATTAATTTTTTAAATAATTATTAAAAAGAGGCATTTTGAGAGTTGGAAATATAATTTTAAAAAAATTAAAACTAATAAACATAATTATCATTAATTAGTGCTGATAAATTTTTCTTCAATTTTTGCAACTGAATCACCTAGTAAAATTTAACTTCTTGATTGTCTATTTCCTCAAAAAAAAAACTTGTTGATTATCTATTTTTATATTCAAGTCTCACAATTTATAAATATCATTGTACTGTCGCTGATAGTTAACATTAATATGGATTTGTGTGTACATGATATGATCTCCCCTCGTCATAAATTTCTCTCATAGAAAAATTTGACCCTACACATCGATTTTTGACCACACCAGTAGCTTTCATATCTTGGTGTTTAGAGATTCTAAGGACATATTTTACACCGATGCTGATCCTCAAACCCTCAGCCGCCCACGGTATCAGACGCTGGTAATAATTGTACAGTTCCATCACTCAAACTTTATGCCTCTCCACATTGTCATATACTTACATTTTCTGTTTCCTAGCGGGTCGAAAATTGTCTTTGGTGAATTATTTGTCCTGCTTTTGTAGAAAGTTGATCCCTGCTCAGCTTTGCCTGAATGAAGTTGAAAGGCAGGCAATTCCCATTTGCATTTTGAAAACGGGGCTATGATTTTGACAAGAGAAAATGGAATATAAGACACAGAAAAAATATTTGGGAAGAGAAAAAGATACAACTATGAATATTTTTATGATATTATATTATGAATTGAAAAAGAGATTTTTGGAAAGTCGAACATGAAACTTAGGTAATGTTTTTATTTAAAGATAAGTGAATAATTATTTAGTCCAATTGTGCAAAACAGATACAATTGTAAATTGTGCATACAAGAAAAAGAAAAAGAAAAAGAAAAAGAAAAACTATCACTAACATTATATTAAAGTATAATAATAAAATTAATAAACTGTACTTATTTTAATAAATTATTAAATATATATATATTATAACCTAATGTTAAGTGAGGATTATTTTCTTTAATTGGTAACGATGAGGGGCTAACAATATCATAATATAAGGTAAATGATCAAAACCTACCAATTTTGTAAGGTAATGGGTTAAATCTTACCAATTTTGTAAAATTATCATATTATAAGGTGAGGGGTTAAAATTAAAACCCATCAATTTTATAAGATGAGGAGCTAAATGTTGATTTTTGCCCACTTTGCGCTGCATATATTCATTTCACTACCTTACCGCCAAGCCTTTTTAGATCACTTTGCATATATTCATTTCACTGCCATATCGAATATATTCATTTCACTGCCATGTCGGCAAGCATCTTCCAGGAAATATCCAGCTAAATCACTTCTTTAAAGTTTGCTCTTCTTCTTGACCATCTCACCTTTTCTTATTATCGGACACAATTTGGCTTGCAATCGAGTGCGTCCGGTTGGCTCCAATTTGGTTGGCCAAACTACTTGGATTACCAGTGCCCACTTTCTTCGATTTCTTCCATTGAACTTGCAGGTATACTATCTATTAAGATCTACAATTAATCGTGAATATGCACGTTTATGTTATCTTTAAAGTATGTATTAAATGAAAATATTTAATTGTTTTTGAATGAATAACCTTATTTTTAATATTCTTTGTTAGATTTCTCATTTTTAAATTGTTTTTTAGTAAATTGTTAAATTCTTTTATCTTTAGATTTGTTTTTAACTAATTAATATGTAGCTACTTAACAAATCTTATCAATTATTCTTTTGTTAATCATATTTAAATCATGTTCAAATTTCAAGAAATATTCGTCAATCTTTTGCTTCAAAAAAATAAGTTTGCAATTAAGTAGATCTATTGGTGCTTGTGATTTGCTTGGTTTAATTTGGTCACCATCTTTAATTTCTTCAATTTCAATCATTTGTTAAATTAGCAAGTATACTATCTAGATCTTAAATCTTGATTCACATATGTATTTGTTGAAGTATATATATATATAGTACATTAGATTATTAACTATTTGTTATGGTAGAGATTTAAAACTCTGATCTTGACTCAAAATCAAAAAAAAATTTTTCGTTAAAGTAGATAAAAATCATTAATTTATCAACTTCTGTAATCCACCTTTTTATATTATCTCTTCCTTTGAGCCTAATTCAATTATAACTAAATTAACTGAAATCTTGAGCTTTTTTGTAGATACAAATCGTTAATTTATCAACTTATGTAGTCCACCTTTTTATATTGTCTCTTGCTTTGAGCCTAATTCAATTATAACTAAATTAACTGAAATCTTGAGCT